ACCCATTCATATCAACTCTAATCTCAACTGACATTCTAATTTGATGTCTTGTTTTTCTTGTTTCTTCCAACCAATGAATGCTCTCTGTCGACAGACTCAAGACAGCAATACTTTCCGATCAACCAAGTGCATCCAATGCACCCACCGAACCAACCAGTTAACGTTGATAGAGGCACGCAAGGCAGAAACAACCTGACAGACAAGGCGAAATCCTAATGGAATAGCACCGCGTTCTACATCCAGATTTTGCCCAGAGATACAGGCATTAAGCCACAGCAGCACCTCCAACATCATAATTCGGCCTCGCCATAGCCATAATGGAACTTCACATTTCCCGGATCCGAAATATCTCATGAAGCAACTGGCCACATTCCCATCTCACAGTGCGGCTATATGTATATTTCCCCGTAACACAGACAAACGGACCCCATGAAGACCCGAAGCATAAGCGATGTCTAATCCAACCAGACGGGGCCAATGGAAAAAAGGAAGTACAACTCATGATATTCTATACTACACCAATCTAAGCCGCATCCTGCATACCCATACATTCAACACGCTCCAACGAGATATGATACCTCGTACGACACGGAGACCCCGATATACCCAATTAACCCAGATGCAATCCAGATGGACGCGTAGACAAGCAAAGGCGGGGCAAAAAATTAGCTGAAGGGCGATATTATGCTCGTACCCGCATAAGAGCACACTTGTACACTCGTCAAGCAGGGTTTCAGCCTACTGAATAGACAGACTCGCTGGTTACAGGCTCCCAGCACTGCTTACTTGCATACTCTGTGCGCGGATCGGCGGGCACTTATTAACGCCGTAATGTTTGGAATTCACCCGGGCTGTCACTCGTAGATACGTATCGAATTTGTCTTGTCTAGGCTCTTCTATTGCTTCCAGGATTGTAATGCAGTTCTTGAGTGGGTTTAGATGTATTGATTCCTTTTCTGGTTTGGGTCGGGGGGCCGCGGGACTGCTTATCTTAGTGTTCTATAAAAGAGCTTGGGATCCTCGTTGGATCATATATTGTGCTACGCATATCATATCATATCATACCCAGTCGGCCTTTTGGTCATTGGGGTTGTTGGTCTTGTGTTCATGCTGACGTCGGATCTCACGGACGATATCCCGTCGTTGTGGGTTTGGATATGATATTATTTTGTTCTAATCGCAAAGTTAGCATTGCTCTTGAAGTCTAAGGGTCTGTCACATCGGATCATGATGTCTCGGTTGATATACTGGCCTATACGTAATACCTGCTTTGCTGACACTCTAGGGATCTGAGGTCATATGGCAGCCTTTGAGATCCCTCAGACCTCTCGTGTGCCTTGCGGTGATGTGAGCATGAACGAGATATTATTTGCTGCAAACATTGGATTGACCAATGAAAAGGAAGCCCCTGAATTAATGCTTCGACTTGTCATATTGGCTTGCACTATGAAAAGGACATCTGATGTTGACATGACCTCTGAATAGTTTTCTTGATCTCACTTATACTTACCTCTGAAGCGCCAAGGCTTGAGGAGATTCCCTTTCTATGATGCGTCATATCGGAGCTGGTATCAGCTCCGCAATAAACAAGTATCAGCGGGTATTAGATGGCGTGCAAGTGTCGGTCACACAATACAAATTCCAATTGACACGATAAAGACCGGGAGTGCTGCCGACTGAGCACATCACGAGTACAACTAAGCTCCAAAAGACGATGACAGGCCGATTTTGGCCGACGTTTCCTATGATGTGTAGTCAGGCCCATCGGGATTTGTAAGGTTAGATGGGAGAAACCGGACCAGTGATGAAAGTGGAGCTTCGAACTTCCCCGGATTTTGCCAGAGAAAGCTCTAGCGCGGGTAACGTCAGAGATGTACCATATTTATTTAGAACCTATATTGTATAGAGAGAGCAAAATTATGCGGAATAGATATGCGGGTAATACCGGTTGAGGGTCGGAGAATATCGTAGGGCTTGGGGATTTTGGGGTGGGGAGGAAAGGGGAAATATAGTGATGGGGGGTTTATTGTCAGATATCAATTGGAATATCAATTCGGAGTTCAAAGATTGAATATCAAAGTTGTATAATTTTTACCCCAAAACATTGACCGATAGACCGAGTTTGAAGTTCCCCGGTTAATTTTTCTCCTCACCGGGAGATTCCTTGTCCCCTCAGTTCTCCAATTTTTATTTTGATTATTATTTTCCCTTTTTCTTTTTTTATTTTGATTTTGGCTTGTGATATTAAGCACTTAAGCGGTTATTATAGCTTTGCCGGTAAATAATTACGGGTTTTACTATGAATGTACATATCCATGGATGTATGTTATGACCAATGTTAGAGCTTATAGACTCGCACATAGTAATTGAATGATCGAATTGGCAGAAAAAAAAACGTGGTCAATGTAGACAGTACTTAGGTTTACTGCAGGCAGCACGCAATCAGCCAAGTACTAGATACACGGCTACCCCCTTTGGTCCGGCTACACCGATTCGCCCAAAGCAGCAAGGCGATGATGGAGCTTATCAAATCTTTTTTTTTCTCTTAAATTATTCAGTCACCCTTGATCTTTCATCCCATTTGCAATCCCTTTGCTACCTTTGGTGCGCCCTCTCACAATGGCTGGCAGCACGCTAGCAATTCGCAAGATGGCTCCGTCCATCATGCAGCTGTCATCGATGACGCGCAGGTCGATGTCGACATCGCAGGCCCTTCGCGCAAAGCCGATGCGGTCTACGAAAGTTTCCCAGCCTGTGTCGCGCATTTCTCGTCGTAGCTACGCTGATGCTGCCCCTTCGCCCGCCCCGAAGCCTAAGAAGCGTTTCAGAGCTCTGCGTTGGGCCTGGCGGTTGACCTGGCTGTCTGCCATCGGTCTGACCGGTACTGTCGCATACAGCATCTTCGACCTCCGTCAACCCCCGGACCAGGCCCCGCCTGACCCATCAAAGAAGACTCTGGTCATTCTCGGTATGTTTCGGTCGCGATCGTTGATCCCCTACGGCCAAAATGTCGCTAACGCGGCTGTGTTCGTTCAGGAACTGGCTGGGGCGCCGTTTCCCTCCTGAAGAAGCTTGACACCGAGAACTACAACGTCATCGTTGTCTCCCCCCGTAACTACTTCCTTTTCACTCCCTTGCTGCCCTCATGTACCACCGGTTTGATCGAGCACCGCTCGATCATGGAGCCTATCAGAAATATCCTGCGCCACAAGAAGGCCAGTGTTCAGTTCTACGAAGCCGAGGCTACCAAGATCGACTATGAGAAGCGGATTGTGTATATCAGTGATGATTCGGAAATCAAGGGTGATATCTCGCACACCGAGGTTCCCTTCGACATGCTTGTGATCGGTGTTGGTGCCGAGAACGCGACTTTTGGTGGGATCCTCTCTCGCATCTGAAACGATGCATTTTGGACTAATTTTGTGACGTATAGGTATTCCCGGTGTTCGTGAGAACTCCTGCTTCCTGAAGGAAGTCGGTGACGCTCAGAAAATCCGCAAGCGTATTATGGACTGTATCGAGACTGCCTGTTTCAAGGATCAGACCGAGGACGAGGTTAAGCGTCTGCTGCACATGGTTGTGGTGGGCGGTGGCCCCACTGGTGTTGAATTCGCCGGTGAACTGAAGGACTTCTTCAACGATGACTTGAAGAAGTGGATTCCCGAAATCAAGGACAACTTCCACGTCACTCTTGTCGAGGCCCTGCCCAACGTTCTTCCCATGTTCTCAAAGCAACTGATTGACTACACCGAATCGACCTTCAAGGAAGAGGAGATCTCCATCCGCGCCAAGACCATGGTCAAGAAGGTTACCGACAAGTACATCCAGGCCGAGGTGACCAAGCCCGACGGATCCAAGGAGCTTGAGACTATCCCCTACGGTCTTCTCGTCTGGGCTACCGGTAACGCCATCCGCAGTGTCGTCCGCGACCTCATGTCCCAGATCCCCGCTCAGGCCGAGTCCCGCCGCGGTCTCGCTGTCAACGAATACCTCGTCGTGAACGGTACCGAGAACGTCTGGGCCGTCGGCGACTGCGCCATTGCCAACTACGCCCCGACCGCCCAGGTTGCTGGACAGGAGGGCGCCTTCTTGGGCCGCCTTTTCAACACCATGGCTAAGACCGAGGCTCTCGAGCAGCAGTTGGAGACCCTCTCAGAGCGCCAATCCCAGGCCAAGAGCGACGAGGAGCGTAACCAGATTTTCGACGAGATCCGTGAGCGCCAGAAGCAGCTCCGCCGCAACAAGCAGATCGGTCCCTTCCAGTACTCACACCAGGGCTCCTTGGCTTACATCGGTAAGGAGCGTGCCGTAGCCGACATCACCTGGCTGAGCGGCAACATCGCCAGCGGTGGTACTATGACCTACCTGTTCTGGCGCAGTGCCTACCTGAGCATGTGCTTCAGCAGTAAGTTCCAAGTTCTATCCAACACTGATTGAGATTCATCATTAACATATAATCCAGCTCGCAACCGTGTCCTTGTCTGCGTCGACTGGGTCAAGGCTCGTCTCTTCGGTCGTGATGTCTCGCGGGAGTAAACATCTCCACCCGTTTTCGATGACCTTCTGTAATATTGCCAGCCACACTACATTTTCCTTTAGGTTATTCAATGCCTTTCCTGACACATTGACCGTGTAATGTGTCCCCGCTACGCCCCCCTTATGCCACCCCTCACTATCCTTGTCTTTATTTCTCTTTGCACCTGTGACTGTGATAGACATATCCATTTTCCGTCTTTTTCTCATGACTTACTATTGGTGCTGCGATTGGTTTCAGAGACAAAAGCCATTAATTCGCGTCTTCTTTGTTTCGCTTTCGGTTTTCAGACTGTACTGTACGCTATAGGAATATATAGACTGGGTCTGGGATTGTTATATTGAACTTGTCATTTCCATCTGTGAATTACGTTTCTTCCTTGGACAGTGTGGCTATCATACTGCGTGCTTGGATGCCACCTCTTGCTCGCTGGACGACATTCCTTTCTTTATTCTACGGCTCAACATCACAGGTCTAGATCATCGTCATCCGGAAAAGGGTATTCAATCCCGTTCCGTACTCTCACGCTCTGCACGCGCACTTCCCAGCTCCGAACCTCCTTTTGCTTTCTCAACCCATAGACCACATCAAGATTCACATCTCCCATCGGCGATTGAAGTCCTCGTACCAAGTCCCACGTCCAACTATCCTCACCAAATTGCGACCAAAGATGAGCTTCAAGATACGGCGAGTTCCACGTATCAAGCACGATATCCGTCTGCGCATTGGCCGACATCATCGCTTCGAGATAGTAGGGTTCCCTGTCCATCTGGATATCCGGAATACACCAGATAGACCACCTTTCCAGGTTAGGATGGCACCAATACATCCTCCAGTAAAAGAACGCTGCCGCCTCATTTGAAGACCTGACAACCAGGTCGTAAAGCATGTTCATACGAAGTCCACCGTACTCTTTCAACGAAATTTCCCATCGGCGCAGAGAGATCTGGTTGGTAAGGTTCTCTTGGCGGTCTACCCAGCCTAGCGACATTGCCGGGGGCTGTTGAATCAACATTCGGCGCCAACTTGCGCTTGGATGGAGCCATGTGGCGTGTTTGTCTAGAAATTCTTGCATGTCCCCAGCCCCGAATGCAGTATCGCGGGATGTTTGCCAAGCATCGGGAAACCAGTATGGAAACTTTACTGCCAGTAAGGGGTTTCGTCGTGGGATGGTTGTCTTTGGGAGGCTGGCTTGTATAGGCTCAAAGAATAGGGCTTGCTGGAGTACCCGGGAGTCTTGGATGCAACGAGCCCAGCGTCGACAGACTCGCTGGGCGAGTAGGAGTGTCTGCTCGTCATGTACCGATATCAGAATTATCTCTATGAGTTCTTCGGGGAAATTGTCTAACCCCATACCCGGACACTAAGCACTTGTAGTGTGTTGGAGAAAAGACATTTAGGCCAATTTGGGCGTGGGGGTGGGTTCTAGTTCAGCGGGGTAATATCGCGTAGGGAAAACGTTCTAGTTAACTACATAGAACTGTATGCGGAGCTATCTCTACGAGCTCTATTGCCCCTTTGAGCTGCGTTATGGATGAAGTGAAAAGAGATAATATGGTACCATAGGAGCTAGGTAATTGAAGTCTACTAAGAATATTAAGAACATTATAGATTCATTTGAATGATCCCATTTGTTTAGTTTTAATACCAAAGCCTCACAAGGTTATATATCAAAGGTTATACATAGAAAAGTCGTCTGCACAAAGTATGCATTTTATCGCCTTCGTATACGCCTAAGCAGATATCAAAAAAGACATCAAAAAATACTTATGAAAAGAACGTCCAAAAAACACGTCGGGGGGTTCTTACATATAACATCCCTATATCATCTTCAAATAAATCAGACTATTAAAGTCTTACGTTATCAAGGACATAGGCCGCATAAGCGGCCGACTATTCTTGTATATTTATATAAAAGACACTGCTTTCTAAAAATTACAAACCCCTACATCTTCACTGCTGTTTGCCTTTTCCCTTGGCCAAATGAGATGGTTTTTTCAGAACCTCGGGCTTCGAGCCTTTAGCCCTTTTCGCCGCAGGTTCAGTGGTGTTGTCTGCTGGAGAAGGCCGTTTAGCACGGGCCAGTGAAGCGATTTTCAATGCAGATGCTCTCGGGGGTCAGGACGTGGTGATATAGGCGATTGCACTGCTGAAGATGTAGTGGTGTTGTCCGCTGGAGAAGGCCGTTGAGCACGGGCTCGATGGATGGAAGGAAGAATACGGTGCTCACATGATCAAGTCTTATGGCCTCACCAATTGCGTGCCGGTGGTTGTGTCTTAAGATTGGAACGAGACATTGTTTGAATCAAATGGCAGATATTACCTTTGGGATCGGTATGGTAGCGGCCTGGTGCGCATCCTTCATGGTTTGGAGGAGATCAAGCAAATAATCACCGACTGGGGACAGGGAGCACTATCCATGGAGTTCATGGGGTTTGTGTAATTTGGCCATTTGATAGGACGCCTCATGGGTTCATATGTAGGTCGTGTGCTTGCGGGCCAAACTCCGGAGTAGCTAGGAATTCTACAGATCAAAATGGAGAAAGGATATAGATCCAAGGAATGAATTATCGTCGATTTTGTGATGAACGGTCTAGAGCTATGTACATCGACGTCCAAGACATTTAGAGATACATGCTATCCCAAGAGGAAGGGGTAAGGGGAGAAGACGGCTAAGCATGATAAAGAGAGTGATGAGAACACTAGGAGAGGTATCAAAACTCCAAATTGAGAAAAAAGAACGAGTGTTTCGCACGGGCAGTGAGGGGGAAGAGCAAGATAGCCCAAACATCATGTCTTCTAGAAAGGGTTCCAGCGGCTCCGCGTCTCCTTTCCAGGAGGCGCACGCTCTGGTTTCCGGGCGCGGCCATCAAGCTGACGGATGCCTTCGATCTTCTGCAGAGCCAGCTCTAGCAGCTCCTTCTTGCGGATGATGTCCAGGTGACGGCGGATGCGGGGATCCTCGCGGGCAAACCGCTCGACCTCGGCGTCTGAAAGGTGTCGTCCAAGTCTTGAATCAAGCTCACGTGGAAAATTATAGTAGAACTCTGATAAGAGCTCGACGTTGAGGAATAGCACGGCCGTGGAGGTGAGTTTATCTGCCACAACATCCAGGAAGACCTCTGGGCAGTAGTATTTGTTCTTTTGTGTTGCGCATTGTTTGGACCGGACGGCGAGAAGTCTCATCTTGATAAGATCAGCTCGGTCTCGGAGGAAAAGGCCTTCTCGTCCTAGATAATATGTCAGTGTCTGTAAATAAAAGAAAGAGGGAAATACCAACCTCTCTCCAACAAGGCGGCACTAAAGCCACCCGCGCCGCCCTCGCCGTTGCCCTCTAGTACTACTTCGCCCTTTCGCACTCTGTCGATAAACGAGACAACATCTTTGAGTTTTCGCTTTCCGACAATGTCTTCCACATGCTTCATGGCCGACTCGCACGACTTAAGCTCTTCCTTTAGAACTTTGCCCATGTTGTCTCTGCCTTTAGCCCATTCAGGATCTTCAATCTCGATCTCAAACTTATATGGCTTGATGCAATTTTCGACTTGATCGCTGGTGCTGAAGAATTTGTCATTCAGGATACTGGTGCATGCATCGGTAATCTGTTTGCAGGCACCAGGGTGGGAGGCGAACGTAGACGAGGCTAGAAGCGAGTCCACATGGTTGTTGAGAGCATTGGCGACAACAGTCGTAGCCAACCGACCAATTCCAAGCTTTGTTAACGACGAGGTAGAAGCATCCAGCTTCCGGTGCCAATATAGTGACTCAGCATCGGCTTTGGGAAGATCCTTGAGAGGATCTAATTCCAGCAGTGGAGGATCTAAGTCCTCGACTGGCTTGTTCCAATAACGCTGCGCCAGAATGTCCATGACTCGCTGGTCCAATTCTGCTTTGAGCATCTCCCGAACCTGCGGTCGCCCGAAGCTTTCCGCGAATGCCTTGAAGGAGTGCTTGAAAGCATCGAGGCTCTCAGCTAAGTGGGACTCCGCGCTCAAAGGTCGGTCATTATATTGAACCTTGAACTCATAGGTTGCCTCTTCAAGCTCTTGGCTGATGGAGTCTCTGGTTCCAGATAGGCTAGATGACATGGTTTGCTCAAGAACCTGCATCAGTGTTTTCCGCAGTGTCGAAACACCAACTGAGACGTCAGAGTGGGGACCGAATTCATTCTGATGCGCAGAGAAGTAGGCATGTTCATTCTTGAGAATGGCGCTGGTAATGTTTCCAGAGCCTCTAGAAAAGAGAGCTGTTGTCTGAGGAACCCGAGTAACAACACCCACGTAACCTAGCCGAAGGGGGTATTTTTTATCGGAAAGGACATCGCGGCCACGTTCGGGGCTGACAAGGTCCATCTTCGTAATCACACCGATAGTCCGTTCACCCCGAGGGTCTACTCGACGACTAGCTCGAAGTGCTGTCGAGTTTGCTAAGTCAACGTCGGCGGCCGAGATCGCCAAAATGACATTTGGTGGCTGAATGTATTTATCGCAAAGATCAGCAATCTTTTGCTTGAGCTCTGGGGGCTGATCTCGGCCCGCAACCTGGATATATCCCGGCAGGTCGATCAAAGATAGATCCGGAACGTTGGGAGAATATATCGTAAGCTGAATGGGATCGTCTGTGACACAATCCTTCTCAGGAACGGCAAGGTTCAGATCTGTGAGTGTGCGCTGAACTTGAGAAAAATCTGTGATCTTTCCGAGACCCAGGGCCGGGAATTCACCGTATTCTGCCTGAGCGTTGGGGGTGTTGACCAATGTGAGCTCGATCGGCCGCCGAGTCACCATGTTCGAGCCCTTGGGCAAGAACTCATGGCCGACGATAGCCTCAAGAACTGAGCTTTTGCCCGATGATTGGGATCCAATCACGACGATCGACGGAAGAGTGAGCGTGCCGGACTGGCCGATAGTCTGCAGAATATTTCGGATTTCGATCATTTTGCGGGTGAGCAGCATCATTTGGTCATCCTCCGCAGCATCTCTCTCTGGTCGTAAATCTTCCTCCCCTGATTGATCGTATCCAAATGCCGTAGTAGTAGCAGCAGCAGCGGCAGCAGTACCAGCCCGACTTTGTTTCGGCTTTTTGCCTCCACTACCAGACGAGTCGCCCTTTCGAGACTCAGACTCCTCGTCGAGACGTAGGACTTTCTGCAGCCAGTCAGGCATTTCGATGTCTTCAGTCGTCTTATTCCACCCGCGTTGTGTCTGATCCGCCATGTCCTGCAGTCCTTGGAACAAGGTCGAAGCTGTGTTCCCAGCAGTCTCCGAGGCTTGCTTGAAGACATCCATCGCATAGTTACCGGCCTCTGTGAGATTAAGTCAGCTTGAAATTCCACTTGTAGCGAGCTTCATCCACGAGAGACATACGAGTTGCTTGGTATTGGAAATAAGCTAGACCCGCGATTGTCGCCCCGCCGAACATAGCCGGAATCCTGACAAGCTTCAATGCGAGCTTCGGAAGCATTCGAGCAAATGAGATTGATCGAACAGCAGGGACATTGTGAATGGCATTTGCACCCACTGGCCATGCGCGCCCTCTGAGAGCAGCGCCACCATCTGCGCGTAGCAGGCCGCCGGTCCTCGAGCCTGCATTATGGATATGGCGAGATAGTTGACCGTTCCGCAATAGCGGTCCGAGTCGATGGGAGAGTATCCTCCCACTCATTATGGTTGTGGTAGCATTCAATAGAAAATGGAAACAAAAGTGATAACCTTGTAGATTACCGGATCACTGCACATGTGACATCAAACATAACTAACAGTCCCCGTGACTTGCGCAAGTAGCCGCGTAGCCTCCCGTACTACCCAAGTCACGTGAAATATGACGTGCTGTGCAAGGGAAGTGACTTTATTCTTTTGTGTTGATTTCGATAAAAAACAATCCTTCCTTCTTGCAATCTGTGGCAAAATTACAGCTCGGATATATTGTTGTTGGGCAGTAAGATCGTGGTTGACGTTTGGGCATCTCACCGGTTTCCAACAGTCGGTGACTCTTCCTCCGCCCTGACCCCATACATCCTTGATTAAGAGCACGGCCTTGTTCGAACTACAAGTTTGGTGTACACCTTGAAGCTATTAATAAAAATTTAAAGTGGGATTTGATACAGTCTCATTCCAATTGCATTTGATCCAGACCAAACATGTGTCGATTCCTGGTAAGGTCCATCCCTCCAAGCATTGGGCCTAAAGCTAATATCTCGATCAGATATACAAAGGGCGAAATGAGATCCGTCTCAGTAAGCTGATAACCGAGCCAAGTCATTCAATCCTTACTCAATCATACGATTCACGCCTGAGACTGGTAGGTTGTCCCATCTCGCTGGGTCAGATATCGCAGCCCACTGACATGTAATATCAAGGACAATCGCCGTCCTGTCAACGGTGACGGATTTGGTGTGGGCTTCTACACAGATCCCAAGCTTGGACCAGAACCTTGCATCTTTACCTCAACACTGCCCGCCTGGAATTGTGAGAATCTAGAGCGACTCGCTGCAAAGACATGCTCAGACCTGATTTTTGCGCATGTGCGCGCAACAACTGAGGGTGCTCTTGCCGAGAACAATTGCCATCCGTTCCAGCACCAGTCCCTGATGTGGATGCACAACGGCGGTATCGGCGGGTGGAGCTACATCAAGCGTACGCTGGGAAGCTCACTCGCCGACAAATGGTACCTAGGTGTGAAAGGTGGCACCGACAGTGAGTGGGCATTCGCCCTGTTCCTTGACCTGTTAGAAAAAGAAGGAGTAGATCCGAGCTCTGACCCCGGTCCTGAGGGATTCGGACAGGCTCTTCTACGTCGTGTTTTGATGAAAACCATTGCCAGAATCAATGAAATGGTCCAGGAAATTCCAGAGAAATATAATGTCACCGGAGTTGAGACTCGGAGTTTGTTGAACTTCGCTGTGACAGATGGCCATACTGTTGTTTGCACTCGGTACATCAGCAGCAAAACAGATGAGCCTGCCAGCTTGTATTTCTCTTCTGGTACCAAGTGGAAGGAGGGTGAAACGAAGGGACACTTCAAGATGGAGCGACACGATAAAGGTGCCGATATTGTCCTCGTGGCTAGTGAGCCCATCACCTTTGAACGACGTGGGAACCCTTTCTCTCTCTCTATATCTATGAATATATGCTAATATCATACACAGACAATTGGGTGTCAGTCCCAACCAACTCAGTTGTCACCATTCACAAGCAGACTGTTATGCTCCACCCAATTCTTGATGAATTCTATGGCGAGAACCTCAACCACGACCGCTCTTCCTGCTTTGCTGTATCAAAGGGACTTGTTAGCACCGCTCCCGGGACAACTATCTCACCACCGAATACAAAGGAGCCTTGCGCCCCTTCGGCAACAGGCAATAATGCTATTGGAAACACCAACAGTGGTATGGAAAGCTTACGGTCTGGTCATGTCACCGAATGTGCCGTCTCACACTAAATTCAACATCGAGCCGGTCATTCTTGGGGTCAACTCTGAGGTTCAGCCATGAACCTGAAAGCATTGTCTTAATATGGCGTTGGGAATGAGACAGATATGCCGGATATCCGGGTCAAATTGGAGTTTATGAGTCGGAATGCAAGCGTTTGGGTCCATGTGGTCTTTCGGGATATGTAATTTGGAGAAGGAAATACCCCTCAGCCAGGGTAAAATCCATAAGATATTCACAGAATCGGGACCTTCGAATGATTCCAAATATCTATAGTATACATATCGCCTAGTCACGTGGCTGTATCATGACGTAATTAAAATCAACAGCCCTCGGAGCCCTAGAGACCAAGTCGGGTCCAGGCTTCCTCCTCTCTCCTGCTTGTCGAATCACTCCCTATGTTTATTTTATGAACATGGCTATCTGATAATTTCAAAATGAGAAAGACCCTATTACTTGTCTTTATTCACGGCTTCAAGGTATGCCGGATGCCTGCTTGCTGAAGACCTGGTCGGTCCCCCACAAAGGATTACAGGTTCCAGCTGAAGGAGATTCGTTATTGGCCTAGAACCTACGTTGACTGACCAAATCCGATTCTAGGGCGGCGATGATACTTTTGGAACGTTCCCTGAGCATTTGCGCGTCCTCGCAAGCAGAGCACTTCCTGCGGTCGAGGTCGCCACTGCTGTCTACCCCAAGTATGAGACTAAAGGTGACTTGAAAGAATGCGTGGCGAGATTACGAGATTGGTAGGACTCGGTCCAGTGCCTCACGTGAATGGATACAAGCTTTGCTGACTGACGGTACTTCTTCTGTGCAGGTTACAAGATACTGTGATTGATCTCGAAGTCGCCAACCATACCGCATCGCCCACCGTCGATCCCTCGGTCCATGTCGTTCTGATCGGTCACTCAATGGGAGGAATAGTAGGAGCGGAGACTCTCCTTTTGCTAGCAGCGGAACAACCAATTCCTCGGAATCCGACTTCAAATACACAGCCCGAGTTTACAGATGGCACCGAATCTATCGTGGAACCGGGTACTTTCATGTTCCCTCATATACAAGGAGTGCTTGCATTTGATACCCCATTCCTGGGAATAGCGCCAGGAGTCGTGTCATATGGCGCAGAAGGACACTACCGCAATGCTGCAACCGCCTACAACACCTTCTCCGAGGTTGCAGGTTTATTCGGTTACGGTGGCAAGGGCAATGCATCAAACCAAGGGACCACCCACACACCCTCGCAAGAGCCCCCCAAAGCGTTGCCTTCCACACCCGACGCCGCCGCGACACCTTCCTGGCAACGATGGGGTAAGTATGCTATGTTCGCCGGCGCGGCTGGTGCTGTTGCCGCTGGCGGCGCAGCCATGTATACGCAGCGTCAGAAGCTCACTGACGGGTTTGGATGGGTATCATCGCACCTTGAGTTTGTCGGTTGTCTCACGCGCACGTCGGAATTGCACGAACGTCTCGTGCGATTGTCGAATGTTAAGAAGGAACGTGGAATCGGGAGTGTGAATTTTTACACATGCCTCGGAAAAAGTGCGACTAGTCTGGTGGAGAACACATCAACAAGCAAAACATCCTTCAGTCAGAAAATAATCAGGTCGAGGAATAGGACGTTCTGTTCATTGCCAGCGGAGGTGGAACGTGGCGAGGAATCTCAAAATCAAGGACTTTTGTGGACCAGGGCAATTAACGACCAGGCTACTGACGAAACCAACGCACATGTTACCATGTTTCTGTCCAAAGAGAATCCTGCATTTTTCGAAATGCTCAGGGAAGCGTGCGCGGTCTTGGTCAAGTCGATGGACAAAGGATGGTATGATTCGTCCACCGAACCAGCACCAGCCAACGATATCAAGCAACCACATGAAACACAGGACACAAAACCCAAAACAGACGGGGATTTCATGGATAGTGATGACGTTGTTATCGTTGACTGAGATCGCAAACCCCGATTCGAACATGCCGCTCCACAATTTCCCCTGTTTTATTACCGCTTTAGAACGTTCTACAAGACTTCAACCCATGGGGCCCTCCCCTGATCGGCAGACCCCTTACTTAGACTTCGGTCGCGTGGACTACACCCTAGCGCGCAGCGAATAGTATGCACCGATTACCGTGGTATCGAGATTTATTCTTCCCAGGCAAGAAAAACCCCAATGGGCCTTGATCGTCCCGCAACGTCTAGAACAAGGCGTCGTATTCGCTACGATCTGCCTTTCTAAGCAGTCATACCCGAAGTTGTCTCAGTGAGCGCTTTCTTCGTTGGGGAACGTGGCCATGCTGATCCTATGTACTCCGTACCGCTTGTTTCACCCAACGATCGTCTGCCTACTCCGTAGCAATCACACCCTTGAACTAGTGTGACGTGGCCCCGACATGTTCGGGATTTGCTCGGGCCGTTTTGCGCTGCCGCAAACTCTCACAGAAGGATACATTATTATAATGCATGGTAACATTTCCAAGTTTTCTTGTCTTTCTATTACATTATGCCTGCAGTTCTTGCTGCGTAGCCTATCTCTGAGGGTCTAGCGCTTCGACAAACGGTTTGCAGAGGGATAATGGACGCCAACCTTCTTCCCAAACGAACTTAGCGCTGGGTCGAAACGGAGCAGACGAAGTCCGAGACATACAACAGAGAGAACATTTTATCTCCCAGAACCACACTTTAGAGCGCGATATGCATGTGTGATCGAGATATCAACAATGCAAATTGAGTTTAAAATGGAACCCTTTCGATACTTGCATGTTATATACAATCGCTAGTCACCACTTACGTGACTTGATCGGGGAAGCAAAAAGTGAAAATAGTTTCCTGTTATTGTACTCCTATCGAGGATTGATGATCCATGTAATTATTATATGATGATGTAACTTATATCCATCCATGAATGCCCCAAGGGATGCTTTAGCGCGCCAATATGGTGAAAGTATTTGAATATCCACGAAAAAAAAGATAAATAAGATATCATGAAGTCAATAGTCACATATACAGCGCTGAAATAAAAAAGTGAAACGAAAATGAAAGAAATGAGAAAGGGAAAGAAGGAGGATCAATAATTATGGTGACCGTACGTTGAAGAGCGATGGTGGTACAGGCTGCCCGCATACTCGGAGTTATTGTCGGGGTAGACCGTAGCTCGGCGCTCTTCCTCGGATATATGTTCCTTAACCTCCCAAGTGTTTGGCTTGACACCGACGGAGAATTCCAAATCCTCCTTGGTAATCGAGTCCCAAAACTAAAGAACAGTTAGCAAGACCAACGCCACAAGCGTGAAACATGAACTTACCTTGTATACCATCATAACAGCGAGGAGATTGCAGAATGTAGCGAAGAAAAGGCCGTCCAAGTAATGTTGCACGTTGTTGCAGATAACGTCGCTGAATTGATACAAAAGAACCTGGCCAATGATGAAGACGAGCACACCAAAGGAGATATGGCCCAGCGGCCAGCGGTCATCTAATGTGTTCGCAACTAGGAGCAATTGCATGGCCAAGTACACAGCGATGGAGATGGCGTTCAGCAGATATAGCACCACGAACAAGCCCGTGGTATTCTGGGGCCCCATTGAACCCCACGACTTGAAAGTCGCCAGCGATATCACAAACGAAAGAGCGAACATCGCTGCGGACGGGACTCGGATCAACCACACCGAGAGGGCTGTGCCATCTTCGTACAGCTGAAAGCCGACGAACCCGTTGACGAGAAGACAGGTGCATAGCGCGGATATCAAGCCGTTCTGAACAGCCACGAAGTACGGGAACGGGCCGCTCCCTGGAGGGACGACACCTGCATCAATGAGAAGAGAGAAAAGTGTCAGAGCTAGGTAGATATAGAAGAAGGTGATGATCTCTTTACGGCCTATTGGTAGTGAGAAAGTTAGCTAGTTTGCGCCAAGGGTGAGCGGAGAGGGAGCCAGACGAACCGACTGCAGTAAACTTGGACCGAACATGCAAGATCATGATCACTGTCATACTAAGCGCCATGATATGCATGAAGGACGCGGCACCCTCGAAGATGATGGTATTCGCAACCTCAATATTCCGCGCATAGCAGTTGGATATGATGCCCGTTGAGCCGGAAATTGTCGACGCCGGGCCCACCAAGGAGCACAAAGGCACGGGCACCTTCTCACATATCGTGTCAAACTGACCGAACCCCATGATGTCTGGTCACTGGGATGTTGAGCAGTGCGACAACAAACAGTTGGAGTTCCAGTTGTGGCGGGTCACGAATGTTTCGAGTGGACGGCTGGTCTCCACAACGACGGGGGTGGGATGGTGGAGGAGATGACGGTATGTAACTCGGTCCCAAATAACAGCGTGGCTCTTTCTGCACCCCAGCTGCACTGTTTCAATCGGCTGGTAGCCTTTGATAGCGAATGTCGAAGATCGGATCACCCTGAATCGTTTATGCGAGGGGGAAGTGTCTCAGTTTTCGCTTTCAAGGTCACGGGATTAGAATCGCCTTTGTAGGTTTAGCGTCGTTGCTAGGGCAGTGTCAGGTGCCCAGGCCCGGGCTTTTAGAGGACCTAAGCCATTCAGAGATCGGAAACGCTAGATCCAAAAGGGAATGGCTCAAAGAAAAGATCTCATGTGACTCGGGTCCGAACTCGGCCCCAGCCGAACTATCAGAAGGCGCTAGGTCAATTACACATTAAGGGGTCAGGGCACAATAACATACCATTCAAGGTTCCTTGGACCCAATTTAAAAATCTGACTAGGCACCGTTGAGACTATACCGGATACTGCGGCAAGCTATTTTGTCTACTTTTTCAGTCTCCACAAGCCGAGGGACTTGCGATGTGATAAAGACAATGCCCCATATGGTGCCGTGCTGGTCATTATTATTGGACTGCAGTCTACGGAGTAAAAGTTGGGGGGTGAGTTGTCTTAGGCTGCAATTTACCTTTTTATTTTGACTTTTCCTTTGTTTCCTTTGCTTCTGTATCATCTATTGAATTAGACTTCCTCTGTATGTGGACTGACCTCTTTTCTCCACACC